CTCGACCTGGCGCGGGCCCGACACGGCGCACAGCACCTTGGTGCCTCCCGCCTCCAGGTAGGCCGAGCCCTTGGCCTGGCTCAGCAGCCCGGCGCGCGCGTACACGGGCCGCAGCCGAGAGGGGTCTCGGGGGTCGGGCGCCTCGTCCTCCTCCGCCGCGTACAGCTGCGGCGGCTGCGATTCCTCGGGTCCGCGGATGCGGCGATGGTCCCCGGGCATGGCGGCGCCAGGCGTGCGAGCCGCTTCCGCCGCGCGCCTCGCGAGGGCTGTCGGGATAGCAGCGAGCGGCGCCGCACTGCCCCCTGCCGTCCCGGAGAGAGAACGGCGAGCGCTGCACAGCCCCGGGCCCGCCGCAAAGGACGTTTAAGGCTCCAAGGGTGGACTCACGCGGCAGGCCTGCAAACGTGGGACCTGAGCTCGCCGGGCTGACTTCTAGCTTCCTGGACCAGGGCAATCCCAGGGCGTGTCTTCTTCCTTTCACTTGTGAAGATTGTATTTATTTAATGTTTTAAAATATATTTTTATTGCCGAAACCGGTTTGGCTCCGTGGATAGAGCGTCGGTCTGCGGACTGAAGGGTCCCAGGTTCGATTCCGGTCAGGGGCATGTGCCTGGGCTGCGGGCACATCCCCAGTAGGAGATGTGCAGGAGGCGGCTGATCGGTGTTTCTCTCTCATCGATGTTTCTAACTCTCTATCTCTCTCCCTTCCTCTCTGTAAAAAATCAATAAAATATATTTAAAAAATATATATATTTTTATTGATTTCAGAGAGGGAGAGAGATGGAAACATCAATGTCGAGAAAGAATCATTGTTTGGCTCCCTCCTGCACGCCCCCTACTGGGGATCAAGCCCACACCCGGGCATGTGCCCTGTCTGGGAATCTGACCTCCTGACTCATGGGTTGATGTTCAGCCACTGAGCCACACCGGCGGGGCAAGATTGTATTTATTTTAATTCTACACTTATTGTGTGACTGTTCTGTATTCCCCACTGCCTTACCCAAGAGGGCAATGACTTTTTGTCTTGCTCACTCCTGTACCCTCGGTACCTGGCTGCCACTTGTTGAATGATTGGAATGTTCTCCCTGCTGCCTGGATTGTGAAGCTCTATCCCCAGCATGTGCTTGAATCCAGGGTTTTGGCACCCTCCTTCTGCCTGTGACACTGGCCTCTGCTGCTTCTCCCAGCACAGACCTGCTTTTCCTCCTCCCTCCATGTCTGCCAGCCTGCTGTGCCCAGGAGACATGAAACCAGCTGAAGCCAGTGTAGGTAAGCAGTACACTTAACCTCCCAGCACACGTTTCCAAACCCAACTGTCTTCATCAGGCTTGGGTGAAGTGGTTCAGGGCCAGGTAGGGTGTCCATGCTCACCGTCCACCTTTGGATTAAGGAAACAGGAATGATGGTGCAAAGGAGTTGGGGGAGGCAACTGATGTACCCTAAATACCTCCTGTATCAGAGAACACCCCAGAGGGGAAGGGAAGAGGGACATGGGCCAAAAAAATGGGGTTCTCCCACGAGAGGCTCCAAGAAAGGAGCTTCTCTCTGCTTCCAGTATCTCTGTGGATCTGCCATTGGTTCATGCCTCTCTCCATCACTCCTGCTCCATCCTGTGGGCCATCTCCACAAACATCTGAGGCAATCCTGGGGGCCATTCCCAAAATTCAGGGGTCTGGGGCTGGACTCTGCAAGGACTGCAGCCAGAACCATAGTGTTTATTCTTCACTCAGGGAGCCTCAGGCTGTCACACAGGGGCACCTATTGGTGGTGGTGGGAGGGTGGCCAGTCATAGAAATCACAGGGTATCAAGTATTGCACATGGTCCTTTTATTTTCTGCAGCAAAAATGGTTCTTTCATGCAGACCTAGAGCCTTGGGTCTGCAGAAAACTGTTTATAGACATGAGCATGACAATGATTAGTAGCAATACTGGGATAGTGGTTCTACACAGATGGTGCTCAGGTGTAGGGCTCCAGGCAGAAACGTAACGTGGGCATTGAGTCACAGGCTGGCACCTAAGTGAGTTCCAGTTACTGCTGAGTTAGGAGGAGAAATGGGGCTATTTAAAGGTCCCAAGATTCCAATGTCTGTGTGGCAGACAGAGATCTCCTGGCTGAACGGATACATCTGGTGCGGGGGAGACGCTTCCAAGTGGAAGCCACCCCTCCCCTCAATTCTTCACATCTCCCAGGCGGAGCTGGGCAAAGGAAGTGGCCAGCTGCAGCGCCTCCTGCAGGCAGCCCACATTCTTGCCTGTGGCCTGAGCAGACACATCTTTGCCACCACCTTTGCCATCCATCAGGCCTGACACCTGCTGCACCCACTCACTGGCTTTCAGGCCCCGGTTGGCTGCATTCTGGAAGACAGGAAGGAGAAGTGGGAGTCAGGACAGAGGATGGAACTGAGGGAGGCACTGAGAGGGGAGGGAAAGAAAAAGGAGGGGGAACCACAGACACCCACTCCTGCCCTGGGTGATGCTGCCAGAGGCCGAGGCAGACCCTACAGCGGTACCACGGTTAAGATAGGCATACTGAGCGACAAAACCAGGTATCAGCCAGCACAGTTAAACACATCCACCAGGAAAGGGATGCTGGAGGGGACCAACAGGAGGGCAGGAGAAGGGCTATTTCTTTGCCCTGCTCAGTGTGGCTCAGTTGGTTGGAGTGTCTTCCCGTGCACCAAAAGGTGGCAGGTTTGATTCCTGGCCAGGGCACATACCCAGGTTGTGGGTTTGATTCCCAGTTGGGACACGTATGGGAGGCAGATGATTGATGTTCCTCCCTCCCTCACCCTTCCTGTCTTTAAAATCAATTTTTTTAAAAGAGAGAAGGGTGTCTGTAGCTTTTCTAATGGGGGTTGCACAAACACACTTGGGGGTTGGGCAAACAACTGTAAGAACTGAGCTTCCTCAGAAAAGCTACAGACCCCCACTGGCACAGGGCTGCAGGGTATTCTGACCTGAGGGACTTGACACAAGCACGTGATCTTGCCAGCCTCATTATCCACTGTGAAGAGCATGGCCGACGTCTGTGGGGAATGCGTCTTGAAGAGCTTCAAGGCTTCGTTCAGGGCCTGTGGGAGAACCTGGCATCAGGCCATGGCCCTGGAGAAGGGCCAGGCTCCCCATAAGCACAGCGAGTTTGCAGAGCTCAGTTCTCGGAGCTTTTCCTCACCCCACCTCCCCCGCTTCCTAGACCAGGTGCTGGTCCTAGCTCTCCAACCACCAGATCTCTCCATGGCTTAGCCTAACCTCAATCCCAGAGAGTGGGCCCTCAGATGACCACTCCGCTCTGAGCCACAAAACTCAGACTGCAGCCACCAGAGGGTTGATGAGCCCCCGAGAGGAGACAAGCAGCGGATAGGCACTGAGCAATGCCTGGAGACCCAGCCCCTGGAGCCCTGCCCCTGGGTTGCCTTGGCTGACGCGCCGCTCTCCATCTCCAGGATGACGAGGGGCTGGTTGGGGTTGCTATCAATGAGCTGCTTTGTCTTCTCCAACACCTACAAGGGAGGAAGGTCCATTAGAGAGGTTTCAGGTCCCAGGCCCAGACTGACACCCAGACAGCGGTCTTTGCTGGGTAAATCCTCTTGGTTCCCTTCCAGCCACCAGCTCTGCCAGGACTCACTCGCTTCTGGACATCAGCTTTGCTAGCCCGGTCGAGGTCATCCATGATCTTCTTCAGGGATTTGAGAGTCTCCCGGAATTCATCCTTCTGCCATTGGGGGATGACTGCAGTGGCCAGGGCCTGGAACCAGAACCGGAAGACCATTCAGATAAGAACCACAAGGAGCTAGGATGTGAGGTTCCAGCCCAGCCTACCCCACTCTTCTAGCTTTGAACACTAAAGTCCTCCCTGATTAGTGTCCAGAAGGAAAGAGAAAACAAAAAAATGGTATTGCGGTCGGTCACTTATGAATAACCACAGCACTTCATTTTTTTGTTAATCCTCACCTGAGGATATTTTTTCCATTGATTTTCCGAGATAGTGGAAGGGAAGAGGGAGGTGGAGGAGGGGAGCAAGAAAGAGAGAGAAACATCAATGTGAGAGAGACATCGATTGGTTGCCTTCTGCAGGTGCCTTGACCAGGCTGGGGATCAAACCTGCAACCAGGTATGTGCCCTTGACCGAGAATGGAACCTGAGACCCTTCAGTGCGCTGAGCCACACCAGCCAGGGTTAACTACAGCAGTTTTAACAAGCAGGACTGGAGAGAAAGAGGCAGAATAAAGAGATGGGAACCCTGTAAGACCTGGTCCCTACCAAGCAGTGGACACAGCCTGTGAAGGGCTTATTGGAAGTCCCCGAATATTAACGAACACCGGAAACTGGAAACTGGGCACCCACAGCACCTCCCCAAACTCCCTCCACACCAGTGTACACTCATGCTTGGGACGGGCCCCCCTACTACTGGCAATGGGGGCAGCAGGCAGGTTCCGGGGTCCATGGACTCCCTATTGCAAGGCTGCGTGACAGCAGAAGTCAGTCCCAAGGCCCACAGCGCTGAGAGCCAAGACTTGAGGGTTCAAGAAAGGGTGTGTCTGGTCACCAGGCCTAGGATCCAGCACTGAGCAGGCCCTGAGGAGCGGGAAGCCGCCCTACCTCTCCAAGGTCAGCGATCTCCCTCTGCACGTCCTTGTTGGGCGAAGTCTGGGCCTTCACTTTGGCCTCCATGACAGAAAGAGACTTCTTCAAGCTCTCTGCTTTCCTGAGGGCCTGGGAGGGGACAGTCAGAGTTGTAAACTCCAGGTGCCTTTCAGCTTCACTATTCTGTCTATAAACAACTGTGGCCAACACTGATGGCAGGCGATGGAACAACACATCCCTGAGACACCAGAAGTTTCTCTTCCTTCAGGGAGCAAGTGTTTGCAGCCTCTTGACCCAAAACGGAGCACCTTCCTCACATGCCTGGCCAGGGGAAAGGCTGCACTAGCTCAGGGTCAGCAGGTAAACGAGAAGTCATAAGTTAGGAGGCTTCAGCACACATCAGGCACAAGCTAGTCCCCACCCCACACAACTGTTCCCATCTCAAACTAGGCACGTACCCCCAGGGGGACGAGGGTAAGTGCTGGGGACACTGGAAGTCACAGCAAAACCATGGCTAACCTTCCTAGACACATATATTACTGGGAACAAGGCAGGATTTGCATGTATTGCACAGATTAAAAGTAAGATAGCTATGAAGTCTTTTGCACTGGTGGCTTGCTTCCGCCAGGTAACTGGGGACATTTGGGGTAGCCCTGTACTTCTGCTTCTGACTGCAGCAGCCACACCACCAT